GAGGGGAAAAGAAAAGAAAAAGGAAGGAAGCAAAAAATAAACCCAAATTGTAATGCAGCATATAGTAAAGGTTGCTGTGGTGGTAGCTGTTCCGTTTGTCTTCAAAGCACTCGTGGTAGACTATGTCAGACCACCATCAAGAGGCTCAAAACAGTGCAAAGATGTGGCATTAAGTATTAATTCACTTATTAGCCAGCTCTGATAAGAAATTCTTACAGAGTGTAACACATTCTCAAGAATAATATGAATCAAAAGATCTTTATTTATGATTTTTTTAAAGGCTATATGCCAGTTTTTCCTGTTTAATTGCCAATCAGTAAAATCAGGTATCTCAAAACTATACTTTCATATACTCAAGGTAAACAGTATTTTCTTTGCTACAAATGAAATTAAAGTTCAGAAAACTTAAGTAATCATCCCAGTCAGGACAAGCCTAACTATTTAAAACATCAATGTATTTTACACTATTCCATATGCCCTCTGCCTTCTAAACTTTCCTGTCTGTTTGAGTTATGTGCTGTAATTATGGGATGTGAAAGTGTTAGGCAGACCAGTTGGCTAAGCAGGTAAAGGTTCTTGCCATCAAGCTTAACAACCCGAGTTCAATCATTGGGACCCGCATAATAAAGAGAGCTGACACCACATGCATGCACATCCCCATATGCAAAACTAATAAAATGTCATTTAGAATTTCTTTAGTGTCTCCCTCTTTTCCTTTGTCTATATCCCAAGTCTCTTATCTCCCTGTGACCAGTGACTCAAACACCTAGAGTATATAGAAATGTTTTTATGTTCAAAGCTCTATTAAAACATGTCTGTAGTTAAAAATGGAAAGATAATAATAAACAGAATGTGTGTGGTTGATTGGTCTCATCTTTATCACAGTACAGTGATGTGTACACTGATTCAAAGATAAGGCTTCTTAGACTTGTCTGGTAATGGCTGTATGAGCCCAGACCTACCATTCTTCTTTATTAGGGCCTGATTAGAGCTCTGGTCTCAGTACTCAAGTGGATACTGAATACCAGCTCTTTGCTTAGAGGTCTCTGGTTCAAATGACTTGACTGAAACTTCCTAACCACCCCATTACTGTCTAGTATTTTGATTGAAAGGTTAATGATCCACATTTGGGAGTTAAAAAGGAATATTCCAGTGAATGGTCACACTGGGGAGACAGTTAACGAAGTTGTGATTTTGAGGCCAATCCTGGCTACATAGGTGAATCCCTGTATATATGCCCCCCCACCGTGTGTGTGTATGTGTGTGTGTGTGTGTGAATATATATATGAATATATACATACACATATATATGCATATATTTTTTCATATATATAGTTATTGCTATTAGGTCAGCTGAACGTTACAAAGCTGCTGATTCCTTGTATTCAAGTGATAGAATTATGGATGATATGTTTTTAATTATTCCGATGTTTTATTAAATAAATGTAGAAAAATGTTTAGTACTGACTGTTTTCTATAAAGTTTTCAGTTTAAAACTCATTTTCCCCCACAGGTATTATCCCTATCATTATGCACCCTTCCTATCTGATATCCGCAATATCAGTTCACTAAAAATCCACTTTGAACTAGGGAAACCCTTCAAGCCATTCGAGCAACTTCTTGCTGTACTTCCATCAGCTAGTAAAAATTTGCTTCCTACATGCTACCAGGTAGGTTTTACAATTGAATGATTTTTCTTAATGATCTTTTTAGAAGGATTTAATTATTTTATATTATGTGTATGAATATTTTGCCAATGTGTGTGTATATATCTACCATATGTTTTCCTGGTGTCCACAGAATCCAGATGAGGGCATTGGAGTCCTTGGAATTGAAGTTATGTATGGTTGTGAGCTGCCACATAGGTTGTAGGAGACAGGGTTTTTAACCACTGAGCCACCTCTCTAAGTCCTTATGTACTTTTTTGTATTTAATTCTTCATATAAACATTGCTAGGAAATCCTGGAAACATTGCTACACAAATTAATTTAATAAATAGATTTTTATTTATCTTAGGCAATATTTATTTTCAGTTTTTTTGTTTGGTTTTGGTTTTGGGCTTGTTTTTCAAGATGGTTTCTCTGTGTGGCCTGGCTGTCCTAGAATTCATTCTGTAGACCAGGCTGGCCTTGAACTCAGATATCCTCTTGCCTTTATCTAACAAGTGCTAGGATTAGAAACATGTGCCATCATCGACCATTTTTATTTTAAGTTAAATGCACAATTTTAGCAAATCTTAGACAACTAATCCATTCACTTTTAATTATATTCATGGGCTTTTTCATCTGCACTCCAGTTCCTGAATCACAACTCAGAGGCTTAATATTAATAAATGCCTAGGCCATAAGCTAGCTGGTTCTCCATTAACTCTTTTTTTTTTTTAATTGGATGTTTTATTTACATTTCCTATGTTGGCCCCTTACCCCATCCCCCACCTACCCCGGAACCCCCAATCCCCTCACCCCTCCTCCTTCTTCTCTGTGGATGTAACCTCTATCTACTCCCCCCCACTCCCACCTCCCCACCCTCAAAATTCCCACCCCCTGGGGCATCCAGCCTTCATGAGGTCAAGGTTCTCTTCTTCTACCTATGCCCAGCAGGGCCCTCCACTCTTACATATTCAGTTGAAGCCCTGGATCCCCCCACCCCCAAGTGCTCCCAGGCTGGTGGTTTAGAGCCTGGGAGCTGTGGTTGGTTGGTATTATTGTTCTCCTCATGGTGCCGCAAATCCTTTCAGCTCCTTCAGTCTTCACTCTAACTCCTCTATTGAGAACCCCATGATCAGTTCAGTGGCTAGTTGTGAGCATCTGCCTCTGAATATGTCAAACTCTTGAAGACCTCTGAGGAGACATCCATATCAGGCTCTTATCAGCATGCACTTCCTGACTTCCACATCAGCATCTACCTTTGGTGACTGCACATGGGATGGATACTCAGGTGGAAAGGTCTTAAGACGGCCCCTCCTTCAGTTTTTGTCCCTCGCTTGGTCTCCATATTTGCTCCCTTGAGTATTTTGTTGCTCCTTCTAAGAAGGACCGAATCACCCCCCACTTGGTCTTCCTTCTTTATGGACTTCATGTGGCCTGTGAGTTACATCTTGGGCATTTCAAGGTTCTGGGCTAATATCCAGTAATCAGTGAGTGAATACCATGTGTGTTCTTTTGTGATTGGCTTACCTCACTCAGGATGATAATTTCTAGTTCCATCCATTTACATAGGAACCTCTCGAATTCATTGCTTTTAATAGCTGAGTAATACTCCATTGTGTAAATATACCACATTTTT